ATTTTGTATGGAAACGTCACTTCGACCAAGTATCCATCCATCCAAGCATTCAAGGGCTATAGAACCTACAGATGTAAATAGATCAGTCTTTGCGACTACCGTCCCATATGTGTAGAAAAATCGCTGAGGGATTGTTAGCATTTCCGATTTATACAGACAGGTGGAGCTGTCTCGCTGTCCGTGAGTGTAGCCCAACACATCAAAGATTACTCGGACGCTACTGCGGGTGTTCGCTTATCACATCAGTAGCTCAATCACTTCCTTGTTCTTACTGACCCCTGTATTCGTTATCCCAGCAAATACTTATTTAATTTCTGGACAATTTGCGAGAAAATCAATCAGTAAAAACTCTTGTTAAAATAATATTGTTTCGCAATTTTTTTTTCAAATTGACTTATCTTTTCGTTTAAAATGATCTATTCAAACAGAGTGAAACAAAAGTTTTCCGAACATCTTTCTTCATTTTATTTACCTTCTTTCACCTAACAATTCAAATTGTCTCTTCTCCAGAAGGCAACATCTGCGCCTTTCTACGAACTTCACAATCTTCAAAGTAAACATTGCTGTCCCGTCTCCTTTGACATTGTTCCACAAACATTTCTCCTCTCTCCCCCTCCCCTTTTCTCTCTTTCTCTTCCTCCCCCACTCATATTTTCAAAGTACAAAGCCCCGTGCACGTCAGCCTGATATTGATTCACATTAGAAAACCTCATTTCATCGCATTCCGTTCCGTTCTTCTGCCGATTTGCTTTTACTTTTAGAATTGATCGATGTCTAGTTAATGTTTTTACCTTTTCAGAAGTCATTCTTCTCACTCAAAGGGCCAATGACAAGATTTTTCTATTATTTTGCATATGGAAGTAATTTACTGAAAGAAAGGATACGGGTTCAGGTGTGTCTTCTTCTTTTCTCTAGAAATGTTGATATAATTTGTTTAAATGAAATGAAATGCAGAAAACGGCTTGGATCCCATATTTGATTATCAGTCTTAGTGCTCATTTTCCGATTTTTTTCTGATTTTTATTTTGAAATTTTTTTCTGACTTTGCTGTTAAAGAAAATATGAATCAGATTAAATTGGATAATTGAGATCATGAAATCAATAGGTAATACTTTTAGTATTTGTTCCAGATAAAAGGCGCTGAATACGAGTGCAATGGAATTTTGAAAGATTACGTAGTAGACTTTGTATCAAACGGAATACGTTGGCACGGTGCTTTGGCAACGATAAAATACAAGCAAGGGTCTGAGGTAAATTTTTCATATCGTATTTTTTGAGATTGTAGGACCCACATAGTATAGGCATTTGAGCGGTCAATTATGCATTTTGCAGGTTCATGGATGTGTTTGGAGAGTTCCGGAAGATTTTGCTGATGAATTGGACCTGCAAGAGGCTCGTTATCATCGGCTGACGGGTGAGAAACTAGGGCAATTTTCCATTTTATTTTTTGCGTTCTAGAAATTAGGTCTTTTGCGAAACTACAGTATGCAACGCTCTCAACCTCATTCGGTTTCTTGCGCGACAAAAATACCAAATGCAAAAAAGTATCCAATCATTTTTGTTAATGAACTTTCAGAACGCACTTCAGAAGTTTTCGAGAGATTCGAAAATATTTGTCCTTCCTCCTTCCCGAAAAAATTTGTCCTTCCTCCTTCCCGAAAAAATTTTAAAATCATTGCTAGAAACACATGAATTTGTTGAATTTTCTTCCAAATCCTCTCCTTTTCTTAACTCAACGATAGAACACAGCATGATGTTTTTTTCGAATTTTTTTTGTTCCAGTGCCGATCCATTGCCAAGACCGTGTCATAGACTGTCGAACTTATCAATTTTCGGACGAGAACGCTCCTTCGGAATTGCCTTCACCTCATTACAAGACTGTTATTCTAGCCGGCGCTGAAGAGCATTCATTGCCTT